GGACAGAGTAAGGAAAGGGTAAAATACTTATTTGTTGCAATCTTTGTCCCACTCATAAGACTTCCTGTCTTTCTTGAAGAAAGAAAAGTTGTGCTCAAAAGTTTGCAAATCCTGGCAAAAAAAATTGTGAAATTTTGGCATTTATATTGAAATTATAACTGATTCATGCCAAAAACTGTATTTTTATTTAAGGATGATGATCATATGAAGCCATTTATTATCACATAGTTGCTTGGCTCCTTTTTAAATCATAATAACAAAATCACCCAAATAGCCCTGAGCAAATGTTTGCATACCCTGGAATGTTTGGCCTTGGTAAAGATACAGAAGGTGACACACACAGGTTAAAATGACAATTAAAGGTTAATTTCCCACATCTGTGGCTTTTTAAATTGCAGTGAGTGTCTGTGTATATATATAGTTAATGAGTTTATAAGATCTCATGTGGATGCACTGAGCAGGCTAAATACTGAGCCACGGGGAGCAGAAAAGAACTATCAAAAGACCTGTGTACCAAGGTAACTGAACTTTATAAAGATGAAAATGGAGATAAAAAGAAATCCAAAGCTTTGAATATGCCAGTCTGTACTGTTCAATCACTTATTAAGAAGTGGGGAATTCAGGGATCTCTTGATACCAATACCAAGGTCAGGTATACCAAGAAAAATACCACCCCCACTGTGAAGCATGGTGGTGGCTCACTGATGTTTTGATGGTGCGTGTGAGATCTTTGAAGGCACATGGAATCTTGTGAAAATTTTTAGTAAGATGAATACGCCATGTTATCAGAAAATACTGGCAGACAAGTTGCATTCTTCTGCACGAAAGCTGCGTTTGTGACGTGGACTTTTCAGCACAATAATCCTAAGCACAAGGGCAAGTTGGGTCCAGAACCTTCACCTTTTTCTGCTGTAACCACTGGAGGGTCTCCAGTGGTTACAGCAGAAAAAGGTGAAGGTTCTGGAGTGGCCATTACAGTCCCCTGACCTTAATAACATCAAGCCACTCTGGGGAGATCTCAAATGTGAGGTTCATGCAAGACGACCAAAGACTGCATGACCTGGAAGCATTTTGCCAAAACGAATGGGCAGCTATACCACCTGGAAGAATTCTGGGCCTCATAGACAACTATTATATCCCATAAGAAATTTAAAAAAATGTGTTTTGCCTGCTCACCCATGGTACATTCTATTACCAATTCTCCAAGGCTATACAAACTTTTGAGCACAACTGTAACAGGCAGTGAGAGAAAATCTCTACAAAAAGAATTTGTCAGCAGAACATGTTCTCCCACTAGATTTCCCCACTGTTCTTGTTCTAGTGAGAGTGCCAGGGCAAAAAATTTCCCTAGCAGGGACATAAACTACAATACAAACCTAACTTGTTGTATTGGTTTCCTAAGCTATACAGAAAAAAAGTATACATATATAAACTATATATTAACTTAAAATGCAATAACCTGACAGAGGTTCTTAAAAACGTTCTAGCTTTAGATACACTTTAGAGGTCATGCACACAGAAGCAATCCCCAGTATAGCGTACAGACACTGGGGTATTCTGGTACCCAGGAGCTTCGGGTGCTGCATACAGATGCCCATAGACATGACTTTTGCAGACAACTGTACGTAGCTATGCACCGCTAACTGCGTTCTGGAACATACGTCTTTTTAAACCACTTTGGATGATGTGCCTGTGTGCATAAGCCCTTAAAGTAGAACTCCATCCAAAAATTTTTTTAGACATATATATATATATATATATATATATATATATATATATATATTTTTTTTTTTTTGTTTTTTTTTTTTGGACAGAGCAAGAAGGGATCAGAACTGTGCTTTGTTTTTATTGATGTGCCCCATTGTGAAGTGTCACCAGTTTTGTCCTGGTTGAACTGATGAAAAGGAAGACAAGCTGCCAGTTGAAGCTTAGGGAAGAGGTACAGTGACTGGGCCCCTGGTACTGTTGGTATCAATGTTAGATCAGCCAGTTACTATTCATTCACATACGTGCCACTTTTACAGCACTTGGAATACAAACTTGTGATGTTTTTCATTACTTCTAAATTATCGCAGAAAGGTTTAACCAATTATTATTTCCTCTTTGTGACACATTTCATACTTGCTTCTAGAGTATAAGTACATGTAATGATCTAATTAGCACCTAGTCGTTTTGCCCTGTGCTCACAGCAATGCTAAAACAAGTTTACATTGCTGCCATTGATTGTGTAATTAGGACATTTACACTTTTCTATTACACAGGATCATATACCAACTTTCTGAACACCTTCTAGAACAGCGGTTCTCAACCTTCCTAATGCCGTGACCCTTTAATACAGTTCCTCATGTTGTGGTGACCCCCAACCATAAAATTATTTACCCAGTAATTATAATTCATGAGTGTCGTTTTACCTCCAATACTGCTGCTTTCAGCACAGTAGCTGCTTTTAACAGAGTAGCTGCTTTCAACACAGCAGCTGCTTTCTACATAGTAGCTGCTCTTTACACATCGGAAATATGTGTTTTCTGATGGTCTTAGGGGACCCCTGTGAAAGATTCGTTCGACCCCCAAAGGGGTCGCGACCCACAGGTTGAGAAACCACTGTTCTAGAACAACGTAAGTAGGCAAAGGACATACTATACTCTTGCCAAGATAAACTTTTTGCCTATACCTCCTAGAGGACCGGTAAATGAATCATATTGCCGTGAGGTAGAGGCAGAGTTACTGATAATGCGACCACTGTGATTGATTGTCACAGTGGTCATTTGATTGAGAACCTGTCCCACTGGCTCCCATAGGTAACAGTGATAGGAAGCGGTCGGTGACAGCTTGGCCAGTGTATTGGGAGTACACTCACCAAACAACAATAGAGTGCAATGGACCTATCCATACATGTGGCAGCTGAGCATTAAAGATCACTCAGGGGCATCCCTAAACAGGTGCGGAGGGTGCGCATCGCACCGGGTGACACCATTTGCACGGGATGACACCGGACCCGCTCCACAGAAATGTAAGTTTTAATGCAAGCAGACGATCTCCGCAGGATGGATCGGATATGCAGATTAAGCATAATGGATCGGAGTCCATGGAGAGATCAGTTAACCCTGTATAGGTTGCAAGCCGACGATCCCCGCAGGATGGATTGGATCTGCGGATTGAGGAGGATAATGTATCAGACTCCGATCCATTATCCTCCCCAATCCGCAGATCCGATCCATCCTGCGGGGATCGTCAGCTTGCAACCTATAGGGGGTTAACTGATCTCTCCATGGACTCCGATCCATTATGCTCAACCCGCAGATCTGATCCATCCTGCGGGGATCGTCGACTTGCAACCTATACAGGGTTAACTGATCTCTCCACAAGCTCCACAAAAAGGTACGTTTTAAAGCAAGCCAACCTTTTATTGGAACTCGTGGAAGAGATCAATTAACCCTGTATAGGTTGCAATCCGACAATCCCCGCAGGATAGCTCGGATCTGCGGATTGGGGAGGATAATGGATCAGACTCTGATCCATTATGCTTAATCTGCATATCCGATCCATCCTGCGGGGATCATCAGAGGGGGTGTCACCAAGTGTTCCGGCACCAGATGACACCAACCCTAGGGAAGCCCCTGCGCTCACTAGCCAAGCTGAGACATATATGCATGGCAAGAACAGGTTACTACGCAAAATATGATTGGTTAAACCCACAATTGCTTTTTACCACTCCCTGCTAGGACTGGGATCTGAACCCACGACCTCTGATGTGTTAGGTAATGATTTCTAAGATGTTAGACAGCAAACTGTCTGATCCCTTGGGACAATCTTGCTTTGTTTCAGGTGAACCTTGAACTCTTTGCTCCTCCTATGAACTTCCTGATTTAAGTTATGTCTCTGCACTTACTGTTTGCCAGATTATTGTGCTCTCTCCAGACAATATCTTGCTCTATTGTGTACCTGAAGCTTTCCTCATCACTTGTTACTGACCTTTGGCTTGTTCCGTTTACCCCTAATCCCAACCTGCAACCATTCGTTATTGACCTACGGCTTGTTCCTCAACTACGCTTCCACTTGATCCCTATCTGCAACCATCTGTTACTGACTTTTGGCTTGTCTACAGACCACACTTCTGCTCGATTCCTGCTATACCTGCTACTGGACCCCAGCTTGTTCATTTCCTAGTGGGGCAACCTGAGGACCACGACCTGGTACTAACATGCAGCAAAACCCATTTCCACCATCAGGAGCCCTGGTGAAAACCAGCTAGTGCTTAGACTCCGCTTCACCCACCTGGGTGACCTGCTTGCTTACTTATCCAGCTGGTCTGTGGGAGCCTCTGTACTGCTATATTTACTGGTCTCCTAGCCTGACCCGAACAGTAGCACTCCCTTAATCTATGCTGGCTTTTCAAGATAATAAAATGAGAGACGGTTGGGATCTATATAGATTTATGATAGGAGCCACCAGTGACCAAGAAGCGGCACAGGTGATTTGCTATAACAGAACGTTCTATTAGGACCCTTCACGCTTGTACATTATAATACAAATTGAAGCCTTGCATCTACAACACTGTTCCTTTGAATGGTGCTCACTCACATACGTCCTATTGTTTCCATATGTGAACAATATAGCTTATTGAAATCATTCAAACACATAAAAACAAATAAACTTGTGTTGACACAGGTCAATGTATGTTAAAAAGGCAAAATAATGCATAAGAATAGATGTTGTTGGGCCCTTAAAGGGAATCTGTAGTACTGCATACAGAAAAATGTTGAAAGTATTATTTAACTAGTTGCCGACCGCAGATAGCCGAATGACGGCTGCACTGCGGCCGGCCAGTTCTGGGAGGGCATCATATGACGTGTTCTCCTGCGCGCCCCCGATGGGGGTGCACCCGGCGATCTCCATGATGGATGTGTCCTATGGACACAGCTGATCACGTGATGTGGTCAGGTGATGTGGCCTTTTACCACATGATCAGCGATGTCCAATGACACGTTGATCACAGGGAAATGCAATTGCCAGTTCTCGTCTGCACTTTCCTCACGCTGTCAGAGCGTGAGGAAAGTACTGCCAAGAAACGGCAGTTGTCAGATCAGGGATCGGCACCGATCATCAGGGCACTGATGATCGGTGCCCAGCTGTGCCACCCACCAGTTCCGCCCACCTGTGCCCAGCATTGCCACCCACCAGTTCCACCCACCTGTGCCCAGCATTGCCACCCACCTGTGCCCAGCAGTGCCCACCAGTGCCCATCAGTGCAGCCCAGCAGTGTCACCAGTCTGTGCCACCAGTCAGTGCCCAGCAGTGCCGCCTATCAGTACACATCATCAGTGCCACCTATCCATGCCATCTCATTTGTGCCACCTATCAGTGCCCTTCAGTGCTGCCTATCAGTGACCATCGGTGCTGCCTATCAGTGACCATCGGTGCTGCCTATCAGTGACCATCGGTGCTGCCTATCAGTGACCATCGGTGCTGCCTATCAGTGACCATCGGTGCTGCCTATCAGTGACCATCGGTGCTGCCTATCAGTGACCATCGGTGCTGCCTATCATGACCATCGGTGCTGCCTATCAGTGACCATCGGTGCTGCCTATCAGTGACCATCGGTGCTGCCTATCAGTGCACCCTCATCAACACACATCAATGATGAAGGAGAAAAATACCTGTTTGCAAAATTTTATAATAGAAAGAAGCTTCTTTTTTGCTCTTTTTTTGTTTATAGCGCAAAAAGTAAAACACACGCAGCAGTGAGTAAATACCACCATAAGAAAGCTCTATGTGTTGGAAAAAAATTTTATAAAAATTTCATATGGGTACAATGTTGCATGACTGCGCAATTGTCAAAGTGCGACAGCGCTGAAAGCTGAAAATTGGCCTGGTAAGGAAGGGGGTATAAGTGCCCGGTATGGAAGTGGTTAATAAAGTAAATCTGAAATACTACAAACAAAATATACAGTATATCCTTCTACAATGGACAATGGTTATACAAACGTCTTTGTGATCGAAAGTGGAGTGCGACAGTGCTTCATCTTTTTCACTGCTCCTCTTTCCACTGACTATAGACTTTGTAATGAGGAGAACAATGGCAGTCACCCGACATTCTGGAATCCCATGGCAAGAACAATCCCCACAAATGCCTCTTGATTTTGCAGGTAACGTTACCCTATTACCGAAACTGGTCTGCAACATCTGACAAAGTCTAGAGCGGGAAGCAAAAAAGGTTGGCCTGAGCATTAGCGCGTACAAAACCAAAAGCTAGGAAGAGAAGCCGCCAGGTAAAGTTGCAATTAATGCTTGAAGACCAGATCACTGAAAATGTTGGCGTTAAAGACTTTATCTGTCTCGGAAGAGTTATACCTGGAGATAGAGGTATGGAGAAAGATTTCCAGTGCAAAATTGGCAGGGCAGCAGGGATGTTCTACTTATCTCGCTACAACCATGAACGTGCACTTGTACACTACGATTGTTATTCCCACTGCTCTATATGCCAGTGTAACTTGGGAAAATTACAAAAAAAAAATGCTCAAAACATACAGAGACAGCATCACAAATGAGCAAAATCTTGAATCTCAGTGGTATGCTGAAGTCAGAAGCTGGGGCGGACTGACAACTCATGGGGCCCCCGGGCAATAGGGGATCATGGGGCCCCTGTGTCCTTGCCCAAACTCAAAAAAGCCTATGAAAAAGGTACCAGGGGCATCTCATGGGGCCCCCTACTGACCCCGGGCCCTCGGGCAGTGCCCTAGTTTCCAAATGGTCAGTCCGCCCCTGGTCAGAAGACTGTCACAGATTGGAGGCTACGACTGGCCAGGAAGTGTAAAGAAGAAAGGTCACAGACAACCTGGTAATCCAGCTTTAAAACAGACCTGAAAGCCATCAATGCCCCCCGAATGAGGCTGAACCAACTGAAGATAACAAAGTTTGATGGAAAGCACTTACTGGCTAATGCACCAAATTGAACTGGAGGAACCAAGTGTAAGCAAGACTATATATAGATACTTCATATTCACCATCTGTAGTCAGCAGATGACGCTCTAGGAAAATCTCCTAGTTTGTAAGCTCCAAGGAGCAGGGCCCTCGAACCCCTCGTGTATCGCATTGTATTGTTATTGTACTGTCTCATGTATTGTCTCCCATTGTAATGTACAGCGCTGAGCGAACTGTTGGCGCTATATAAATACTGTATAATAATAATAATCTCAGAAAGCAGCTGTTGTGCTAAGGGTGCATTCAAATGCTGCAAATGCACCCTGCCTCCAATTATATGTGAGAACTCCAGCGGGGGTTCCCGCAAATGGCAGCGAGAGGCAGCCCTACTGAAAGCAATGGGAGGCTCTCAGCTCCCACAGCTAACCATGGCCACTCCAATGTAATCTCTCATGCCCGTCATCAATGACATGCTGACAGAAGCTGCAGTTGAATGCATGTAAACTGCATATTCGAGCGGTTACAAGCATACAAGGATGAATGAGAATCCCTGGACGCAAAACACTCATTCATCTGTCTCTATTTGCATTTAAACTACTCAGATGCGCTGTTACATGTGCACAACTGCGGCATCTGTCAACCGGTCATTGATTTATACAGGCTGTGGCCACTGTGTATGCCTATACCTGTGACTGCCAAAGACATACACTCCTCTGTGTATAGCACTCTGCAGAAATGTTAATGAGGCCTAAATTAGTGAACCTCCTCACGCTTTCGAAAAGCACAACATTGCTGGGCTTTCTTTTTAGAAAGTCCAGCAGGCCTACTTATAAAACTGTGTACATACCCTGTTTCCCTGAAAATAAGACAGTGTCTTATATCAATTTTTGCTCCCAAAGATGCGCTAGGTCTTATTTTCAGGGGATGTCTTATTTTTCCATGAAGAAGAATACGGTACACATTTATTGTTAAATGAAAATAAAGGAAATTACCATTTTAATAACCCCTTTTGATCCTCCTGTGTCATTTTGATTGCCCCCTCTGATCCTCCTGTGTCATGTGTCATTTTGATTGTCCCCTCTGATCCTCCTGTGTCATTTTGATTGTCCCTCCTGTGTCATTTTGATTGTCCCCTCTGATCCTCCTGTGTCATTTTAAGTGATCCCCCTCCCCCCACCCCTGTGCCACCTTCACCAGACATCCCCCCACCCCTTTATCAGACATTTCCCCCCTGGGGCCTGCCTGGGGACTGTCACTGGGCTGGCTGGGGCCTGGACCTGGGCTGGAGCAGGGTCTGCCACTGACTGAGAACCTTCAGTCATCATGAGGGCGGTGTCACCAGAGACAGACCAGCACTCACCACCTTCGCCGCGTCCCGTCCGCTCTGATCCTCCTGTTCTTCTACACGCATCTCTCTCCCGCTCACTCCGACCTCTGCTCCGCCTCCACACAGCAGTGACGTCACTGGTTGCTAGACGCCAGTCGGGGCGGCCCTAGCAACCAGTTTACGGTAAATTAATTTTCATTACGAGACAGAGCCTAGGGGGGCCTTATTTTCGGGGGGATGCCTTATATTTCACCCAGAAGGAAACCTGTAAGTAGGTCTTATTTTCGGAGGATGTCTTATTTTCGGGGAAACACGGTAGGAAAAAAATCAAATATAGTCTCATTTCTCTTTAGCACTGATTTCTCAAAGGAAAAAAAATATTTAATTTTGTGTATATAACTGGAAAATTATATTTTCTGACTAAAAATGCAAGACAACATGTCAATACTCCTTCCTAGATTGTAAGCTCCAAGGAGCAGGCCCTCCAATCCCTCTTGTATTGAACTGTATTGTTGCTGTATTGTCTCCCTTATATTGTAAAGTGCTGAGCAAACTGTTGGCGCTATATAAATCCTGTATAATAATAATAATAATTCATTTGACTGGAAGAGCTTGGGCAGATGAAGAGGGCATCTTCTCCTACATCCTACTATGATGTCAAAAAACAAAAATGGCTCCCTAGGCCCCACTGCAATACTCATCCTGAGACATAGTCACTTAAGGACACACAAGCAACTGCTTTCTATCACTCCATAAACGCAGAGACTAAAAGAGCGCTGATTACATGCAGATAAGGCACGGAGCAGATTCTGAAGGCTGCTTGAAACAGATCAATCATATTGACAGAAAATGCTGTGGCGCACATACAAATCAATGCATATCACATTCCTCCGGAGTCTACTCAGGAATCTCCTTCGCGCGTAGTTAAGGATGCGCACAATAAATGAATGACGGAAACGATAAGCCTCACAGACGGGCCTGATATTACGCATCGCCTCCTTGAGACCTGTCAACGTGCAAAGTCCCCTAAGGCCTAGTCACAGCTGAGGTATATTATCCTGCGACATACGCCCACTAGCTTCCAGTCACATCCCTGACCTTTCAATATCGGCACTGAGTGATGAATGGCAGAGCCACGTAGATTGAACTAGTTTAATTCTGTTTTATTGATTCCTGTTCACAAATCTCCAAAGAACGGCTCATCACAGGCGGCACACAACACTCACTCAGTTACTCTACATGGACACTCTTTACAAGAGAAAAAATGATAGATTATATAACACTCTATATCAGTTTACAGATCTCGAGCTGCTCATCTGAACGTGGACTATCAAACTGGAAAACTTCAAAGAGGAACTTTACTATTTTTCAGTCAATTAACGCACAATAAACCACTTTTGATGATCTTTTATGCAAGAAAAAAATGCTCAGAAGCCTAGTGAATCATATATTGCCATTTTGCTCCTTCAACGCATTCCATCCCATGCCACCATCTTTGTCTATGTTTGTCATTGGGAGCCAGTCATCCTTCTGGGATCTTGCAGCTGGCCCCCTGATGACATTGCACCAGATGGCCTCCTGCGACATGTGACATTGGTATCCCAAGGAAGCTGTAGGAGAAGGCTTCACATCATTCTCAGCTGAACCAAAATGGCAGCAGGTGGTGGAGGCAGCATAAATTAAAGAAAGGTAAATAAAAACTTTTAAAAACCAGTGTATCTTTTTCTGTTGTGGGTGGGGAGGACTGGGATAGTGGAAGTGGATTTCTAGAGCGAAGGTCCACAGTAAATAGAGAAGGGATGATAAAACATTAGCAATAGGGCAGTGTCCATCAAGGATAGTAGCATAGCTACTAAAGAAGCAGCTCAATAGAAGAAAAGATACAAACTAAAATTATTCAAATCTTGACTTTTTCAATAGTAAAAAAAAAAAAAAAAAAAACACATCTTTGGCCCCATCCCTCCAACCTTCTAAATCTTCTCATGAGATCTTGGATGCGATGTAAGCAACTTAAACAGACACAAGAGTTGTCACTTAAGTGATTCTATAGTTTTCCCCTTTGTTCTTTCCATAGCT